TTACGACTGAAACAAACGCAGCGCGTCACTTGATATGTTTACGCTTACTGCTTTCTGATCAATTATTGCGAATTCTCATAGGTGGATGCAGCAATTGTATGGGCTGCAATTCGATAATAAAACACTGGGAACTCGTCACGTACTGCGCTTTATGAACTGCGTATGTTTACAAAGGGTTTTAGCACTCAGATCAAAATTAACGCAGCTTTTATTTAGAAAAAAAAGATGCTTTTATTTTAGTGCAAATTTTATACTTAGTTCTAGCCACCTGGATGACGTTTATGATTATTGGTATGCCGCACATGTTGTTTTAGTAGTGCATATGCATTGCGTTCAGCATCTCCCGGAATTGAGTTTGTCGCCTTCGTCCTTTAACACTCGTACAAAGGTTTGTAGAAAGGAGATATGCGGATCGCGTGTCCTCTGGTTTAGCGACTTCCTGAACGCTTGGCTCGAAGTCTCAGAAAGAAAGATCTTCCATGCGTCTTTTCGCAGTCTGCTTCACCTAAAACGTTTTCTAAACTGAGCCATCAGTCTGCGCACTAGAGTGGCGCTGTCTCTTCGGGTTTTATAGAACAGGAATCGAAAAAAGTTTGCTAATGGAGCGGTCGCGTGCTCAAGCCATGTACATAAATATTTTTTTTTAAAGATACCGTATTGGGTACGTGATTTTTTATTTATTTTTCGATGCCCCAAACTTTATTCTGCGAAAACTGTCGTCATGCGTCGCTTTGATTCAAAATAAATAATTATTTTACGCTTTGTTGCCTCGACAATCCAAACATAAATCTTCAAACGTGACATCTAAATCTCTTCCTCAGCGGCGAGAAACGAGTCAGAACCCAATTACAGAGAATTCGACTCGTTCGAAGCTTAAAAGAGAAAATTGCACAAACGAGATTCCCGAATTCCCAAAACCCGACGAAGCGCCCCCGGAGATTGGGAAAGAAAAAGGCTTCCTGAAAAGCGTGCTCCACCGCAAAGTCACCGTTTGTGCGGGAAAGCCGACTTCAATCGGCCCTTCCCGCGTTTCTTTGTTCGCCCTTTTGGCCTCGGGGGAAAGGGTGACGTGCGAGGAAGCCGCCACTCCAGGAACGCGCCATTTCCCAAGTATGCCGACGCAGAACACAAATAGCATCGCGGCGTGTTGTGAAACAGTTCTTCTTTCTTTAGCCGTATGTTTTTTGTTTAAAATTATTTTCTCTCTTTCTGGTAACCGAGTTTATTGATCTGAGGGGATGCCTCGTGCGCTGACAGCATCATCTGTCTCTTTCGCTCCCCCTACCTTTTTTTCAAACTTCTGTTTGCGCACGACTTTTCATCGTTTGATTTATGTTTTTTTTTTTATTTATTTTTTTTAACGGAAAAACACAAAACCAAAGGAAAAGACAAAATGAGTGCTCTCTTGTTTCGGGTTCTTCATTGGCTTCGATCTGCCGCTTTGTTCTTGCTTCGGAGTCCGAGGCTTCGTGATTCTACAATTCTCCGCTCGACCTTTTGGATCGACGAACCCCAGCGACAAAGTGCGTTTTGCTAAAAAAAAGGGGCCATTCTTTGCAACATGGGTGTCGTTATGCGCGTCAATGAAACAGAGTCAAATAAAGCTATTTGTTTTTCACTCGAATACTGCTGAACGCGTTACTCACCTCCGTGTCTCAATACGAAAGTGAAAAAAAAAGAGAGGAGATGAAAACTCCCGGGGATGTGAAAGCGCTGAGCTCTGATTTGAAGATTTGGTTGGGTAGATGTAGAGGGCTACCTGCCTTTGTTTCTGCCCACTGTTTCTCTCCAATCCGAGCGAAGGAGAGCGTCGTCTGCTCTTCGCGTGACGGTTGTTAGGAGGTGCGAACCACTGCACGATGGAGGTGCAACCGACACCGCTGAACGCGCAAATCTTAGACTATAATCGGTGACAGGGTCAGGGTTCGGAGGAAGCTCCTCCCACCTCTTCCTACTTTAGCTGAGCGAACGCCGGAGAGGAGGCGACCTTCTCTTCATCGTTCGCTTTTCTAAAGTGGGAAGAGGTCGGGGGAGCTTCCACTTTACTCTCAACCTTTCACCGACTATAGAAGAAACACTAGCACACAGGTACAGACTAATACTGTAAGGTCACGATTCCTACCTGCGCTTGATTGTTTTAACCGATGAACACATACGCGCTAGCAGACCACGAGCGTCCTGAAGTCGCGCTTTTGGTGCTGCGCGTTTCCATCCATTGTCTCGTAGTGCCGATTGCGCCGTATCATTTGGGTTCACCAGTGTGCGGGGATTCTGCAGCTTCCAACACAGGGCAGACTTCTAATATCTGTCTATACAACGTGCAAGCTAGTCTTCGTTTTGCGCACCTCGTGATATCGTTTGCCAATCAAATGGGATCATATGCTTTTGTTTCCTCCGATGACGACCGATGACGCAAGCGCTTGGCCGCCACGTCATGGTGTGTCTCTTGCACGTGATTTATGTTGCCATTCCATCCGCGTTCGCCCCCTTACGTTGCGATGTGCCAAAGACGCATTTTCGAACGCTTGCTCGCTGCATAGTAGCGCTCTATAGTTGCGTCCAGACTCTAGAGTGTTGGGTAGCCGCCGCTAGGCTAGCGTGCTAGTCTAAACTTGTTTTAGCAGCAAAGCGAGAAGGCGCAAACGATGTGACGTTTGCAGTGGTGGCCGATATTGCTTCGAATCTAACGGCGCAGCGTCATTTCTAGTTTCAACGCTGTAAGGGCGGCCGCTATGTCGCGGATTTCATTATCTACTGAGGAAATTATTAATGACGCCGCGCCCTTGAATTCGAGTCACCATTCGCGGACCTCTCGACTTTTGTGTTTCACGTCGTACGTTGTGAAGCAACCATAGCTTTCTACTTTGTTTCAACTTAGGTCCATCCGCAGCTGACGCTTCGAGCTAATGGAACCAGTCAGGCAACGAAAGAAGCGCGAGTCACTAGGCCTCCCCTGTACATGATTGGTCAGGAGATAATAGAGATTGTACACAAACATCTCAGACACCATGCTGCTGAGCTTCTGACTCTGATTGATCTTATCAGCTAGTTGTGCCGGCTGCAAATTGAATTTAGGTGAAACGAAGTATAGTCGGGTGAACGCAACCACTTTTCTCCTCTCATTTTTCTTCGTACATATAAGTTGTTATTCCGGCAAGTCATATTACGTGGTGACATAAATTATGCAACATACGCGGAGAAGTTTCTCTTGATATAGTCATATATGAAACGTTTATTCTGGAGTGAGAAAAGCCAAATTCTGAAACATAACCAAGGTTCGTGTTCCATTCGTTTCTGATTAAAAGAAACGCAATACTGGGGCAAGTTACTAGCTGGAAAAGATAAAAAGAATAACTAAATCCGTTATTTTTCAAATTGCAAGTAATTTAACAGCTTTTTTAGCCAAGAAAGCTGCTCAAGATGACCTTTTTCTAAAAATGTCTTTTGTTGAGCACTAACGACACTCAAATAATTGCACCGTTCGTGTTCAGATAGCAAGAACAAAAAAAAAAGTTAGGTCCTCACTGATATTCTTTATTGGCGATTATTTCGTCCGTTCTATCTGGCGATTTTGACACATTCGAACCACTCGAACTAATGTTGCTCAAGAGTTTCCAATGTCTCACAAAACGCTGATAAGCTCTCATTCATTCCCGCTAATAATTTCAAATATGTAAGTGGAGTTTCTGCATAAACACGTAAGAAACGGCATCATTCAAACATTATCAAATAGATGCCACAAGCACAAGGAGAATGCACACAAGAGAAGTGCAACTACGTTGTGCTTGTGTGTATTGTGGTACATCTTGCGTGTTATCTCTTCAAAGTATGCTCAAAGATACGCACGGATAGCGCATATTCGGTAGCACTCGTGTGCTACTGAATAGGGTGTTAATGTGATTTATATCAGGCGAAACTGTTGGAGTACGTCGTTCCAGCTGTCCTTTTGTGGAACCATTTTTTTTAATGCTACTGCTTGACTTCAAACAATCAACGCGTGTGCCGGCACCCAAGTTATTCTGTTGCCGGCCCTGCCTCGACGCAAATAATGCCAAGATGTTCCAAATCGCGTGCAAAGGAATCATTACCCTCAAACCCCTCTCTAAAGTCAATGCTTTTTCGGATGTTTTGCTGATTTTTTGTTCAAAACAACGAACAAGAAACTTTAGACGCCATACGCGGGAGCACGACGGTTTAAGTTAAAACGGAAAAAAAAAAATATTTCGGTTATGCGAAAAGCTTGTTTGGCGAAATCCGGAGTATTTAGTGTAGTTTCGGATGTATTTTGTATTTCGGTTGGGACGATAAAAGGTTTTTGTCATATTAGACTACGTTACATGTTGTGTTTCTTGTACATCTCTCTTCTTTATTACTTTTAATTAAATTACCAGTCATCTTTATCTTCAAAGTCCTGTAAGAAACTTAAGGAACAATCGTTACAATTTGTTTAGAAGACATTAAGCAGTAGTTTCGGGTAGTGAATAAGATCATGTTGTCTTACTCATCCCCCCCCCCCCCCCTCCCTCCCGTAAATTTAGCGCGAAAATTGGCGTGATGTGACCTGAAGTCACGTAACCTCATGGCATCACTTAACCCAAGTTCGGAGAAAGTGACATGACGTGGTCAGGTCATGGTGTTGTCTTTGTGTCACGTGGTACCCTGACGTCACGTCAATTTTCCCGCTACATTTATCGGGAAAACGTACAAATGGACGGACGGGCAAATTTCTGGGAAAGCGTTTTCCTCGGATAGCCTCGCGTGCTCCAAGCCTGTCTATATACCAACTCGACTCTGACGTCACGCACAGCGGATACTCGGAAGTTTCATTTTACGAGAATCTCGCTTCTGCGCACGTGCAGAAGCCAAGCTCCCGAAACGCGGGTTTGTTTTTAAACAGCGTGTTGGTGTATAAAGAGACCTTGCGTTGCTAAAGCGACGCGTAGGTGCACGATTGGAAGACATCATCCTGAGAAGTACGCGCTTGCGTTTGCTCGTTTCAGGTGAACGGCCAGGACCTTTCTAGCGCGTCCCACGAGGAGGCGGTGGCGGCGTTCCTGGCCGCCTCGGAGCCCATCGTGGTCGAGGTCCTGCGGAGGGAGCCCCGGGAAGTCAGGGCACGGACGAGCGCCGACGCCTCGGCCCAGACCGACGGATGGTGGACGCCGCCGTGGGCAGACGCCTGCCGAGGGTACGACAACACTACAGAGCACCCCGAATTCTCGGGTCCTTCCGTTATGCTACGGGGCCTGAAACGCGTCTTCGACGGGCGTGTTTAGCGTCCTTTCCCGCTCACGCGTCGAAAGTGCTGACGAAGGGGCAACAGGCGACGTCACAGAAGCCGGGTTGTCACGCTGTCGGATGTTGCGATCCTGGCGGGTGGGGGTACAAGTCCCGGCAGAAAACGTACGCGCGAACGCTAATGTCCCTGTCGCCGCGGAGTTCCGACTCCTGGCTGCCGAACTTTTCGAGGACTGTCAAGCTCGAGAGCGACCTGCAGCAGAGCGGGCGTCTGCCACGTCTACTATCGCTGCTGCGACACGGCCAGAATCGCGGTCGGCAACAACGTGGCACATCTATGACGCCATCGGGCGGTACTCGAGGGACCACCTCTTAGGACGCGGTAAACACATCAGTCGGAAACGTGTTCCGGGCACCATAGGCCTGTCTCTCTCGGCCAGGGGGCGCTGTAGAGTCCACGAGACGCGACCACAAAATAGGTGCCTCCAGTAGTGTCCGCGAGACGTGACCATTTAAAGCTCGCACGAAACGTCGTCCTAGCGTCCCATCATGCAAGGTCCACGGGTGTAGACTAGCGTCTTCCAGCGTTCCCCAGCGTCTGTCCATATGCACCAACAGAGCCTTTCAAAGGACGCGAGGCGACGGACAACGGAAATGCGACCTAAAGGTATCCTATTTTGCTCGCCAGGGGCGCTACTCGAAACTTGAGGGCTACAGGTTTATAGGCCGTAGATTTCCCGGTGTTTATTGATAAGTAGAATGAGCGGATGTATTTGGGTGTCCATTTTTCAAAAGCCGGTGCATATAGGCGATTGGTTTCGTACGGACGTTAAATCAGCTATTCTCAGTGAAAACACTCCCGACAAACTATGGGTTCAGATTTTATTTTACACTTTGCATGTGCTTTTAAACGGTTTTCGTGTGCCATATTGCGACAGTAGTTGAAAACCACGGGCAACGAGCCCGAACACGGTCCAGAGTTCGAATTCTCTTAATCGTGATCATCCAGAGATTTTTTTTTTGCTTTCTTTGTATTTTGCCGCTTTTCTGCTATGTTTAATAATAAATATGTACTTGTTTTCAAGCAGAATATTATAGCAACGAGGAAGGCAGACTGTTCTTACTTCCTCAGCAAAATTCAACTAATACTCTCAGTGTGGGTTCGAGCACTATCGGCCCCCTCTTATCTTAACAAGACAAAGACTTTGTGACAATCCATAGTGACCGATCAGCTGACCTTACTCTCAAACCACTGTCTTCCAAGGTCATTGATTGCATTGATTCGGAACTGGCTCCTTCATTCGAGGGAAGTGTACGCGCCCGGCGAACGTCCAAGACAAGAGGGTTTCGAAAGGAAGAACCCTTTTTTAGAGCAAACATTTTCCGAAATTTGTGATTCTTAACCAATTTTTACTTTCACACCGGCGGATGTTTATCAGTGTTTTTCAATTCAGCCAGGTAAATATCCGGCCCAGTTTACCCAAACAGTGCTTTTTTTTTCTTCTTTTGTCTTCTGCGGTGTGCTTTCCATAACATAGCAGTAAACATATATTCACGATTAGGCCTTCCACCTCTAGGTATGCGGAGGTTGATGATTCGTTAACCTTTGTGTACATGACTCATGTTCAGTAGTACAGGTGGCTTGATATTAGTAGGTATACCACTTCCGGGTCAGTAGCTGTCACACAGTGCTTTGCACGTTCCTCAAAAAGAGGAACGAAAGCTCGTTCTTCGGTCCTTCTGATTTTTTGGAACGCGTTCCTGTTACAAGTTTCTTCTGTGAGAAAGGAACTCGTTCCCGTTACATAAAAATTTTAACGTATCACTACATTAAGTTACTTTTGTATAGTGCTAATTACCGTATTTAGTTAGATCAAACAAAGATTTTTTTTTTACTCAATCTATTTTTCAAGCAGCCATATACGAATTTTAATTCCGCAATTACAGGACATCAGGAGAAGAAAACAAGCGGAAGCAAGGCTTCACTTCTTTATATATTCACCTTTCAAAATCTCAGCGTTTAATCATATTCATGTTTTTGGTGGGAGGTTCAGACGAGCCAAATGTACTGTTAACCCACATTGCATGAGAGTTTCAAAACAATCTCACACGTTTCTATCTAACAAAGTCCCTTGTTCGAACTTAAGAACAGTTGCTTCTCGATGTTGCTGTCCGCAAGACGAGCAAGTGAAGGAAAGGGTAGGGCTTTTGAAAAGTCAGTCTTGAAAACTATCAGTCCTTATACGTGAAAATTGTATTCGTTGTTCAGTTTGAAGGGGAGGGGGAATAAAGGTTGATTTTCGCGTATCATTTAAGCGACCGATATTCAGCATATGAAGGTGCATTTGATGTCTGATGACATGGTCTTTTGTTGTACTTAAGTGTTTTTTTTTTGTATTTTTTTTTTTGTAGAAGTTTAGTGATGATTATAGTCGGCCTTAGATTTCTCATTGTGTGAGGATTCGAGGAAGCAAAGAAATGAGCTGAGTTTGAGACATCCCTCTTTCTCCGACTTTTCCTTCGACTAAAATTGTTTGTTCTTTGTACCGCAGTCACGGGCACTGAGAAAAGAACCAACGTCCACTAGCTCTCTTGCACCCGACTGTTTTCAAGCGAGGACCCCACAAAATGGACCCTAAAAGAAGTAACAAAAAAGTGAACGAATCCTGCTCTTTGTAAAGATATGTTTTTACACTTTCTGGAATATCTCTCTCAGATATAAATTAAGAAATACCCGTTTGGGATGACAAAAAAAAAAAAAAAAGGAACGCCGTTGCCTTTTCCGTTCCCGTAAAAATGCAACGAGTTCCCGTTCCAGATGTACCGATGCAAAAGGGAGCGGCGGTGTTCCTTCGTTCCTTTTAAAAGGAACGCGTTCCAAAAACGCCGTTATGTACAACACTGCTGTCACTCATACAAAAAAAAAAATTTAAACACTTAGTTTAGCATTTGTGGAAACTTTTGTTTTCCTCATCTTTGTTTTACTAAACTAAAGAGCCGGGAAAATAATTCCGATATCTATCGAATAAAACTAGTAGTCGCCTACTTATGAACCGGAAAGAGTCGTGTTTCATTTGCATATATGGTGTAAATAGAGGTGCCTCATTCACATTTCTCCTTAATTACCGGACGCATTTTTTCGCCGCAGTCGCGCAGCCAGCCAGCTGCTACACGTTGGGCAAGTGGAAAATATTAATTTACATGTCCGGAACACGCAGTGTCTTCTTGCATGTAAACAATGACGTCGTCGCGGCTTTCGGTAAGGTTTTTATTTCAAAGGCCCGGACTCTATACCAATCGCAGATCGATCCCACCGAACGTTTTACGCATATGTGACACCGCCACTGCTGTAGTTCCTGGGAGGCAGACGCCAGAGCACGAGACAGCGTTTGTGGCTTCGTGCTCTGCTCGTGCAGACCCTCAGTGGGGTTGTCGCGCGTGCAGAACGACTACAGATCCCACAATGTTCGGTGACAGTGGTTGTGTAATGAAACTGCCTGTGAGATCGGTCTACTGGGTCAAGTCATAGAAATGAGCCAAAAGAAAGTACATTGGCCAATTGACTTTTTTTTTTTTTTAGGGAAACTCCGGCCAAAACTTGAAATGAAATAAAATACTGGTATCGCTGTAGCGACACAAAATACGACCCCAGCGAAAATATTACGTCCGTGGGACGCCGTATTCTCAACTACTGCAGATAATAAAAATGCGACCCGCCGCGGGCCACTGCTCCTTAGCGGGCGGCAAGCGGGTTGCCGATCGCTAAAGCAACATTGGGCCGTGACGTCAGTATCGTTCTCTTTTTTCTCCTCCGATCCCGGCGTTGCGCGGAGTGCGCTTCTTTGAGCCGCTACCACCGCTACTTCGGCTTGGGATTGGCGTGTTTAGCCGTTGCTTTTATCTGTAGCCGTTGTAGCTTCGCTATAGCCTTTTGTTTATTTGCTTGTGAGGACTCCAAGGCTCCTTTTAGCGAGCAACTCGGTGCGCCCAAGACTGCCCAGCTGTTCCTCGAAAGATGCCGAGTGCAACTTGTAGCGCTGTGGGCTGCTCAAACAAACCGCTGCGCAACACGGAGGTGCTTTTTCACAAGTTTCCAACGTACCGGAAATTGGAGAAGGTGTGGGTGAACGCTGGTCGACGAGTGGACTTTGGACGTCGGCTTTTACGCGCCCGAGGGAAAAAGAACGAAAAAAAACAGACGTGTACAGCCCAGCACACGTGTGTTCGGGCGCCGCGGCCCGCGCCGGAGATCCTCAAAGCTTCGTGTCTGGGACTGACCCTCAGCGCGAAAGCGAGAGGGCCCCCAGTACTGTACATACGTCATTTGCAGCGCGGCGTAGAGCAACGCCGCTCCATCCACGGAGCCCCGAGGACAATTTAGGCCTAGCGACGAGTACGGAAGACCGCACACACGGCGGCAGCCGCCGAGCATACGGCACCGAACGAGTTCACTCGTTTTCTAGTCACTAGCGTTTGGGTATACAAGCGACGAGTACGGCATAGCGCACGCACGGCGGCGGCCGCCGAGTACGCCACCGTACGAGTTCACGGGTTTTCCAGTCGCTAGCTTTTTGGTGTACGCGCTAACTCTTGGTACACATGCTGGATAACTACCACGTATACATAATTAAAACAAAATCAGCTTACCTCCTATCTTTTTACGGCTAGCGCAGCAGAGGTAAGTGCGCACGGCCTGCGTACTCGTTGAACGAGAACGATCCTGACGTCATGTTCACATAGCGGCTGATTTCTAGTGTTGCCAAGGCCTCGACCGGCTAATTTCGGTTTTGTTGGCCGCGCCCCAAACAAAACTTTGAGGCGTCAATGTCTTTAAAACAATGCACAATAACGAAAAAAATTACACCTTGCACTTTAGGGACACTGACTGCACTAAAAACTGTCATAACCCCAAAATCGAGAGTATGGACCGGAGTTTCACTTGAAACAATG